GGATGAGGCTGCATTCCTACCACTGCAGCTCAGCCTCCTGAGGCAGGAAGGAGCTCTCCTGTTCACACACAGCCTGATGTGCATCCACTGTGGAATTCCAGGATGGCCTCCCTGGCACAACCAACCTGACATGAAGGATTCGCCTTCTAATCACAATGCAAGTGTGCAGTTGTGCCTGAACTGGTGAGAAGCACAGCTGAAAAGGACTGTAAATGTTGGCAGGAAGAAAAACAATACACACATGAATCCCAAACAAAAACCAGGATAGTTTACATCCCTGTTCTCAAAACACAGAGACCAACATACACAACTCTCTGGTCAGAGTCCACATGTCTGAGATGTGTCAAAACCAATGGACAACTGGGATCCTGCTCTGGGAACACAAAATTGAGGTTATGCCCAGTACCACTCTAACAGGCTGAACAAAACCTACAGAGTGTTTTTGTGGGTGACAGGCTTTATGTAATGATCACATTTTTAGTTAGCCAGGCTATTTTTAGGTTTATCACCAGTCCATTAGGAGAGGGGAAGTAAACAACCACTGCAACTTCTCGGACAGGTGCCATTTCATTGCTGTAGCTGTCTGGCCATTTCTAGAAATGGCTTCTCCTCCTGCACTCTGCACACTCACCAGTGGCATGCAGCAATAAATAGCACAATGGGAGAGTGTGACCTCTTGCCCCTTGATTTGGCTGCTTGGCCAGCAAGCCTTGATCAATGGGCCCTGGTGACACTGCTCCCAGCTATGCCAGGGTGGGCTGGGTCACAAAGGAAAACCTGGCAGATGTTACCCCAGACCAAATGCTTAAGAAATGACCCCCCTGCTCCCATCCCTTCTTACAGAAAATTAAAATTCTGCAAAGTCCACTGTAAGAGTCCAGATCAACACATCTAGTGCTGGAACTAAACTTAGCCACCCACCAGAGCATGTGACACTCAAACTTTTGAATATGAAGCACAAGCATTCATCTATCACACACATACCATGTGCCTTCCCAAGACATAACCACTCACACACACTCCTGTGGCTACTAGAGCCTAATCCCTGCAAAAGAGCCACTCAGACCCTTCTCACACTGCCTGTACCATGTCCTTGATTCTGAAGTGATCGTTTTATCAAAACCTCCGTGTCTGATTCGTTTTCCCTCCTTGAAGCAGAATTTGCTCTGACCGAACTCGAGGCACGTTCTGCACTCACCAGGAGAGGTCCCCACACACCTCAACAACGAAGAGGAAGGCCAGGTGGGATCTCACAGCAGTGACCTTCTAGTTTTGCCGGGGAAACGTCTCTCAGCTCAAAACATCTGGGGATATGTCACGTCCATGCTGGCCACGAACGGTTCTCTTTCTATCCCCTGTCAGAGGTTGTGATCTGCAGACTGACACTGCAGCCTTTCTGCTTGCAGCTGCCAATTAGTTGTGTGCTTCACAAACAGTTCCTTCAACTTGCTCCCTCTGGAAGTCCAGCATTTCTGTAGTAAGGCAGTAATATGTAGATCAATCAGATCTCAGTCCAAACACCAAAGGTGTCTCATACAACACAGAGAATAAAAGACTCAGATTCTGAACAGTTTAGGGCAGGATCAGCCTAAGAATTCCTGAGACCCCACTTAAAGGTTATGGGGGAGCAGACTGGCTGCCACGGGACCATAAAGACCTACATGGTTTGAAACCATGCACAGCTAATTGATGTTTTCAGCTGCTCTGTGAATACCCACAACTTGACCGTGTAGACATTCCCACCTTTCCAAAACAACTGGGAAGCAAGATGCTGTTCATCTTGATAGAGGTGAAGCTTAGCCAAAAATAGAGTTTCAGGTGAGGATTTATGGAACATGAGCACTTCTTTAAGCCTCTGCCTCTCACCAGGCACTGACTGGAACTCTTGAGCCGTTGCTCTGAACTCAACTTGTTTCCCATTTGTTCCAGGATCTGCTTTATTGGGTCTCCCCTCCCTCACTGCTGCTTTCCTGCTGGGCTTCATTACTGCCAGAAGAATGTGATAAATATGCCTAACAAACTTAATATTAAAATTATGCCATCAAAACCCAATGCTCCAGAACCACCTACAGCCCGTTACTAAATGCCAACCTGCTGCCCTCCTTGTCCCCGGGTGGTCTTGGCCCCTTCTTGTCCCACAGGGCTACAGAGGAAAACATCCCCTCTTCAGCCCATCAAATTGATCAGTGGGCACTAATTAGTGAGCTCAGTGTCTGTGCTCAGTCTCTTCTCTGTAGAGATCCCCCCGTGCCCCCTCCTGCTGCAGGGTCTCCTCTCTGAGAAAACAGAGCTCCTGCAGCCCAGCAATTCCCACCAAGCTTGGGCTTGGGATGCTGCTGTGCCCTGAGCCTTGCCCAGCTCAGCTCCAGACCACTTGGGAGAGGGGCAAGGGAGGGGGACATTGAGGCAAATGCTTGGAGACCACAGTTAAATGTTAATGTCTGCTAATGAGGGGCCCCTGGTGCCGGCTTCCATCACGGACTTGGCCATCCCACTGTGAGGGAAGCTCTACAAACACGTCCCTGCCCTTTCAGCTGGCTGCAGCGAGCCAGGGAATGTTGGCCTGAGCAGCTGGGAAGGAGAGGGAGGCTGAAGGGGTCCCTGAGCTGGGAAGGAGGAGGATGAGTTGCTGCAGCAGTGCTCTAATGGTACCTGTCTAAGCAGGCCATGCACATCAGCTCCACAGCTCACCTTCCTCACAGCAGCCTGGGGAGGTGAGGCAGATACATCCCCAGAGGAAGAGTTTGTTCTGACCCTACTCTTTCAATCAGATCTCTGCTGGTACAGGAGAAATATGTCAGTAAGCTGGGAAACAATTTACTGTTGGAGATGAGCAACACAAACCAACCTGCTTCCTTCCACCCCTTATGGAGGATTTGCCATAAAAAGGAATACCCAAACCACTTTAGGAAGGGGCACAAACTTGTTTCCTGCCTCTCAAAAATTTTCTGCTGTCCTCAGGCATTCCTGCCTTCTTTATAGACTGAAGTTTGTGCTGAAGTCTCCATCTTAACTGCACCACCCTAATGGCAAGTTTTGAAATCCTGAGAGGACCCAGAGAGTAAATCAGAGATGTTTTCTCTTCCTAACTCCTTCTTGCCACGGCACCAAATCTGATCTGAACCCAGGTGTTGACTACCTGGACTGAAGCTGCCCTCCTTGTCTGGGTTATGCAGCACACTCTGAAATGCACTCCCATGGAGAGTCATTGTTTGGGAGATGGAAAACCCTTTTGTTGTGCTCACAGACAACATCCAGCTGCACTGCATTAGGAGGGGAGGCAATGGCACCATTGCAACAGGGAAAATTCCAAGTAAATATTAGGAAATCATTGTTTCTTTAAGATTCTCAAAATTCAACTTGACAAGGCACTGAGAAACTCCTTCTAAGCTGGCTCTGCTTTTAGCACAGGATTGCACCACAGACCTCTGAAAGTCCTTTCCAGCCTTAGTTATTCTGACTTTCCCAGCATAGTCATAGGTGAGGACTGTGCTGGTGTATGTATGTCCAGCAGCAACCACACAGAATTCAGCAGTACCCCAGACAAGTTCAGAGATCTTGAGGTCAAGATTTATTATCTACATCTATGCAGACTTGTGACAGGCCAAACAAACCACCAAAACAACCCTGTGCTTCTGCAGAGGAGGAGAGACAACCCTGAAACTGCCCTGATCTTCTCTCACTGTCTTGTCACACTGCAAGGTACACACCTCAAACCTCTGGAATGATGATTTCATTTTCTAAGACTCATGTAATATGTGGCTTTAATCAACATCAACAACAACAAAATGCCAAAAATATAATAACATCAGACCTCCCTCTCTGTCACAGAGGGATGTTTATAAACCATCTCTTTACAATATCCATTTCAAGAGACACTTAACAACTATGTTTCAAACTGATCTGCACATGAAAAAAACATTGAAACTGGCACATCACAGAATTATTTTCTCCAAGCCTTCAGGACCAACAAGTTGGTACCAAGAACTGGCTTCCAAGGTTTCAGTAACTCAAATATCAGATGAAAAATGCCAGATTGTCCTTAATTTCAATTTCCTCCATACAGATCCAGTTTAATGGCCTTTAACTTTGAGCATCACATGTGTGCAAAAATACCACAAAAGGTCAAGATATGTCACTGCACACTCAGGAATGTTTCAGTTTCTCAGTGGGGCCAAATTTCAAGCCTCTGCTTCCTTTCAGACTGATTTCAGATTTAACACAAATTGTGTCTAACAGACTGAGAAAGAACACATAAAGGAAATGTTTTAAGCTGGATCCAGGGAAAGAGGAATTTCTTTCTCAGTTTAAACCTTGTAGAAGCTTTCTGTGCTTGTCAGCTTTGTTTCAGCCACACTCATGTCACTCAGGCAAGTAACTAATGCAACTTGTTATGTTTTAAAGACTTTGATTTCCCTTCTTCTCCAAATCACACTTTTTCAGCTCATAAATCAATAGCATCAGACTATATGTTATGTTGTTTTATTATACTCTCATATTATTATGTAATAACACTGAGTTCTTACACAGCATGTTTTCTGAGACCCCCATCCCTCTGGCTGGGTGTGTCACAGGAGCCCAGTGAAGGTGTAGTGGGCACAATTCCCTTCCTGTCTCACTCTATATTTCTCACAGTTATTTTTCTCTGGATGAAAAGGAAAGATTTAGCAGTGAGCCTGAGGAACACTGAGCACACTAACAAACAGAAGTGGCACAGGACAGCAGCCTGCAGAGCCCTCCAGATGCACAGCAACAGAATGATGCTACATTGCCCAAGTGTAAAATGCTCCTTTCATTTACCATCAGAAAAGAGAATTATTTCCTCCCTCCCTTCTCCTCCTCCTCCTCCTCCTCCTCCTTCTCCTGGGAGGATGAAAACAGGTCAGAACCTCAAACCAATCCTTGCACTAGCAGGAACTCAAAAGGTGGCCTTGGGAGGGATTGGAGGAAGATATAAATGCTGATAGCTGGAGACACAGAGCAACACTGAGCTGGAGAGACTCGAGGGAAGGAGGAATCAGAGACACCAAAACGGGAACATGAACCTGAAACTCCTTTTTTGCCCTGGATTCCTTCTGCTGCTCATTGTCAGTCAAAACCAAGCAGGGGCCAGGTCCATTTCCAGCTTACAGGTAAGTGACTGGCTGCTCAACAGAGCAGAGAGAAGCTGATGGTTCTTCAGGAATTAGACACTTCAGATGAGCTCTGTTTCTTCCAACCCCAGCTAAAGCAGCAGGAGAAACTCAAGAGAGTTGCCAGCAGGAACCCTGAGGTGGGCAGGCACAGAGTTATGAAACAGGGGAAACTCAAGTCACTGATTGCTGGATTTAAGTTTCTGATCACACGAGGCAGTTGAAAGGAAAATGTTTTGCCTTTTTTTTCTTTTCTTGTGGGGTGAGTTTGGGGATTGGAGATGTGGGGTCACCCTGTGACTGAGTAAAACAATGAACTTTTGGAGCAAAAAGGAATCATCCTGGAAGGACTGTGATCTCAAGCCCTAGAGCAGTCACCTGCATGCTCCTCCCTGAATTCCCTGGTTTTGGCTGAAAGAGGAATTATGGGGTTGTAACTGCAGGATCTCCTCCTCAGCTCAGTGGTGCAGCTGGGGAGTCTCAGAGGTAGAACATAAGAAAAAGGAGAAGTGTGTATGTGTGCCTGTGTGTATCTGTGTGTGTAGCAATTTCAAGTCAGCAGGAAAACACATTTCAGCTACTGGACTAGGGATCTGGTATTGCTAAGTATGAAGTGACCTCCCAGTCTGTAAAGAAATATTTAATATAATCCTTCAGGACCAATTCCAGAGTGTTATTGCATTGATTCTTTTAGTATTCTAACATATCAACTATTTTTTTTCTTGTTCCTTATTCACTTGACCAAGGCTCTTTCATCATTTTTTCACAGTTTATCCCATACCCCACCTCCAGGAAAGGGTTAACTGGCAGTCTGCCAGCTCAGAACTTTAGGATTCACCAAGAGCATATAACCTGAGAGCACCTTGAGAGAGCATTCAGAGTTAGCTCAGAGAAGCTTTGTGAGCCAGAAGAAACTCAAGATAACCATCATCAGCTTCAGAAACCACTTCAGTACTTTCATCCTTTGATAAATGTTAAAAATAAATGTCCTCAAACTTAGTGCTGAACGTGGTTTATATGAAAACAATGAGAGTTTCCAGAACCCTTCCTTCTCCTCCCTCTCCACCTTCTACCCTTCCCTTTTTCCAGAGTCTCTCCAAACTGTTGGATGAAGATCTGGAGCATCCCCTGGTCTCAGAAGAGAGGGGCCATGAGCAAGACGAGCTGCTCCCAGGAGGTGTCTTTGACCAGGAAGATCCTGAAGTCCCGTGGCCCCAGGACACGATGGAGCAGCCCCAGGGTGTGTCCCTGGGGGACGGAGCAATCCAGAGATTCCTCAGCGACCTCCTGAGTCTGTCCCGCAGATACCGAGGCAGAAGCAAGAAGGGCCTCCCCAGGGGCTGTTTTGGTGTCAGGCTGGACAGAATTGGGGCCCTGAGTGGCCTGGGGTGCTGAATCTGCACTGTGGTAAGAGAAAGCCAGAGGCAGGTCTGTGTGTGTGTTTAACCTGCAGAAGAGCAGAGTTAATTCAGCTTTAAGGAAATGGTGCCTTAAAGTAACTTTTGCCCTCCCATCACAAGCACATTTCATTATTTTACCCTCCTCAGAATTCACTGCCATCAGACATATACTTAAAATCTCTGATTGCCACACCTCTCTTTGTCTGCCTTCACCCTTCCTGCACATCAGCTGTGTGATTTCACCTGCTCACAGCAGCCAGTTCAGAGAGGTTTTTCACCAGCTCCCCAGGGATATTTGTCTCAATCCAAAGAAACTCTGAGCAGAGCAGTGGGGCTGAACCTGGCCCTAGAACAGTCAGAAATCAGTTAATTTCCGTGTGTGAAATCCTGTACATTTCTCTTTTTTTTATTTATTTATTTATTTCTCTGCTTTCTCGACAGGACTGGCTTCGAGGTTTCACAGGACCTGTTGCCTTTCAGTGAGATATTCAGCTCTTTTTCATATTGGCTCCACCATCTCCTACACGATGTACTGAGCAAATTGCACCCACTTCCCCCCTGAATTACCTGGCCAACAGAACACACGTTTCCTGTGCTGCCTGTTTGTATCAGAGTAATTACTTGTGAACATCTCTCTGAAATTTAGTTACAAAAAGCCACATTTGTACTGTTAGTGTACTAAATGTGTAAATAAACAAGTTTTATTATGTCTCAGGTAATAAACTGCTTTCCATAATTTAGCGAATTTGCTTCAAGCCTTTGCTGTGCTTGTCTCGTGTCACTCCTGAAACAGAGCCCCAGTTTGCAGTCAGACACAATCCACTGGAACTCAGAAGCATTTTGGGGGGCTGCTGTCTGGTAATCAGAAATCAGGACATACAGAGCCCCAAGTCTTTGCCCCACAGTTTGAACTAAGGGCAACTCTCTTAGGTGGCATCAGTAGAAAGCAGTGACTCTGCATTTAAATCTGCCACTGACAGAGGAAAACAACTGTTTCTTCCAATTGTATCTTATTTTAAAAAATAAAACCAAAACAAAAAATAATATTGCCCTTCTTTGAAGGAAGTCCGAGGGCACCCTACTCTTCCACAGGCAGATCCAGGTATTTCAAAGCACTAAGTAGAAAATTCAAAAACATATCCTCTTATGCTCTTTGCTGCTTAATCTGTTTAACTTTAATAGCAAAGCAGCAGCAGCACTGAAAATGCCCTGAACAGACACTCAGTGGAATTTACATAGACACCCCTGAGTACAAGCTCTCCAACAATGGATTATATAACAAATATGATACGTGTATCATATGATACAATGAATTTATTATGCTCTATGTTGCCTTTCCTAAGCAAAAATCACAAGAAAATTAAAGATTTCATGAGCCAGATGAAGACTTAAAGTCAGGAATGGAAGATGAAAGAACAAAGCAGTTTTCACCGTAATTCCATATCAATAAATAGACTATACATGGCTTAAAACTAACAATTTACTTAGGCTAAGAAGAAGCAGACCTGCTTACTTTTGAGGAACCAGGATCTTGTGACAGTTGCTAATGGGAAGGTTACAGCTCCCTTCCTACTGATCCTGAGTCTAAAGCTCGCTCCCAGCTCTCAGTAACCCTCAGAGCAGGGACATTCTCACAGGCACAAAAGCTTCCCAACATTGAAATTTCGATGAAAATCCAATGAAGGGTAAGTGCTACTGGAGTTTGTTTCCTGAACATCCTCAGCTTGTTTCCAAACTCAGCTACATTAACATAAACTCTGGGTCATTGAAGTTATTTGCAGGAAAATAACAGGGGGAAGAGGAGGTTCAAGTCTGAGCTGGGAGCACTTGTGAACAGAATCCTACAGAAGATGAACGAGAAACAGATAAGAGCTGCAATTATAGAGGCCGAGCCGGTAACGTGCCATCCCATCACCTGGCATTTTGCGGGAACGTTTTAAAAAGCCACTTTTCAGAAAGCAAGAACAATTTATTTCACATAAAAGGCTCCATAATTAGATCCCCGGGACTGAAGCCAAGTGTGTTTGTGTTTTAGGTAATTTACCCAGTTCTATTAGCATTTCAATAACCAGAGCTAAGCTTTGAAGTGAGGATGCCACTCAGATGGGGGAAGCTCATCTCTGGCTGTGCCGTTTCCATCTGCCAAGCAGCAGTTCATGAATTTACAGACCAGGATTACAGAAGTGGCTGAGGAGAAAAGCCCCCAGTAAAACTGCTCCTACAAAGAAAGAAACATAGATATATCTTTCTCAACTGTGTCTGCTTTTGGGGAACCTGATTATAAGTGATGTCAGGCAGCAGTGCAGTCGAGATCTGGTCTCATCCAAGACTCATTTCTGACTAGTTTATTACTAGAGGGCTAAATTGTATTTGTTCCCCTTGGTCATCACACAGATCCTGTACACTCTCACTGCTTTATCCCTCTCCATTCCTGTCTGTCTCTAGTACACACAAAATCGGGGTTGATTCACATCCTCACCCATATCTGCTCCTGTTCTGTATCAACGTAACACTCCCACCTGGCGTGAGCTTCCTTCGTTCGTGTTCCCTGCCTTCCAAACACACACCTCACTTCTCCGCCAGGCTCTTCTTTGCTGTGATGCCTTCAACAAAACCGCCTGGGATCCAGGTGGGGATCCATATCCCCCCTCTCCTTCCCTCGGCAGGACCTCCTGGAGGCGCTGGGGCAGCTCCGGGGGCAGGACGGGGAGCCAGGCCCGGAGGCCCGGCCTGTGGCCGGCGCTGAGGGCGGCGGGTCCGGCGGGAGCTCCCGGGGCTGCGGACCCCGGTGCCGTGAGGGGCAGAGCCGGTGAGGAGCCTCCCGTCCTCCCTCCGACCGGGGCGCTTCTCCGGCTGCTTTGGGGCGAGCTGGGAGAGGACGGGGCTGGGATGCGGCCGGTCCCGAGCCCGTGGGTGCCGGAGCGGGGCAGGAGCGGCCGCTGTCCCCGGCTGAAGGCTCGGAGCGGCTCCCGCCGCCAGCTCCCTGCCCTCCTCTCCCGGGTTTCTGGGGGAGAAGGAGAAGCTGAAGCCGGGCCCGGCTCCCAGGCGCTCCCTGAGCCTCCAGGCCAGTGTCCAGCAGCCGGACAGCCCGGCTGCCCCCGGACCCGCGGCAGCGGGTGCGGAGCAAGAAGCTTTTGTACAAAGCCTGCATTGCTTTTTCTGAGTGTTTGTTGTTTGGTTTTTTTTTCCCCAGTCATGGCCTAGCACACGATCAGAAAATACAGAAACCCCCTCCAGAGCGCTGTTCTCCCTCTGCCCTCAGAGCTCAGTCCCGACCCTGGCCAGAGCACCTCAGGCGGTCTGGACAAGCCTTTGTGGAGGGTCGCAGCAGCGGGAAGGATGGGAGTTACATCCTTCCAGGACGATCATCAGTCCCGTGACCCTCCACGCTGCACTGAAGAGACAGTGCCAGCTCCAGGACCGCGGCAGGGAGCCGGGATGCCTTTCCCGATGGCTTCACGGCTGCTGGCAGGGAACGCTCCCACAGGAGGTGGGCACCGGGCTCGGGGTTAATTCCAGGTGGTGTCCTGCTCGCCCCCCTGTGCCATGGGCTAATCCGCTGGTACCAGCGCCAGGTTTGGCACGGCAGGCTGGCACAGAGGGGGCCGCTGAGAACAGAGGGACTTCATCGCTTTAAAAATACATCTGACTGCGGATGAAGGGCTGCCAGGGCTTCAGCACCCGGGACAGACGCCAGTCCCCTCACGCCGAGCGCCAGCCCAGCCGCCGGGCGCTGCCGGGCTCTGCCGGGCTCTGCCGGGTTCTGCCGGGCTCTACCGGGCTCTACCGGGCTCTGCAGGGCTCCCCTCGCCTGCCCGGAGCTCCCTGCTGCCCGCACTGAGCCTGGAGAGTCTAGCACAGAAAGGGGCAGCCGCCACACATCCCAATCACCGGGAGAAATACTCCATGCTTGGGATGAAAATTAATTCCCCCCCCCTTGGAAAAAGTGAGGCACTACTTAACTCCCTTAACCGCAGCATGGCAGCTCTGGACGTTTTTAGATTTCCCTTTTGATTCTCACACTGCCTCATCTCTTAATTTCCTTCCCAGTCTAACCAAACTGCAGGGAAAGAGAGCTTGGGTGGGGTAGGGTATAGTTTTGTCAAAGGGTTTAATCACTAGGAGATGAAAGGAATCCAAATCCAGCCTCAGAACAAAGGCGACTACAAAGGCTCCTTACAATCAGCTCAGACTCTTCAGCCGCAAACGGCAGGAGGAGAATGGACATCACGGGAGGGACGTGCGGCGGGTCGGGGCAGCACTTAGGACAAGTTTATCAGCAGAAGGAACCCACGTGGCACCACCCAAGGGCTTACAGCCCTCAGCCTTACAGGGCTGAAAAACGAGGGCGTAGAATCCTCCTGCCGGGGAAGGGGCAACGTGACCCTCAGCTGAGCTCTGTCCATCCTCCTCCTCGCAGGGATCCCCACCCGGGGCTGCGGCAGCACCTTTGGTGCTCCCCCTCTCTGCTCTGAGCAACCAGAGCTGCTCTAAGGGAGCCTCATGTCCTCACACCTCCCACCCCACACCCTGCGATGCTGAGGAAATGTGACATTTTCCCAACCCTAAAATCAGTCACATTAAGGTTTTTATAAGAACCTGCTGCCCTGTTAAGGCTCCTGACAAGGGTTTTACCGGGGAAATGCCCAGCTGAGCACAGGCAGTGCCTGGATCCTGACTATCCATCGCTGGGCTATAAAGCCTTAACTCCACATTCATCTTACCAGGGTGGTGACACTGAAATAAAACAAACAAACAAGTGATTTTTAGAGCTTCAACAGTGATGAGCTGAGTTCTGACATTTTACTGTACAAAAAAAAACCTCACAAAGCAAAGCTCAGAGCAAGTGACAAAATGTTTCTGTGCAGAGACAGCACTAGAGAATATTTAGTGCGTGGGGGTGGATGTGTGTGTGTGTGAAAGGAAAGAACCAAAAAATACAGCAATAACAGATCTTAATTATCTTAAATTGGACACTGGATATTAATGAATAATTCTGGTTTATATTCTCACACTTTTGCAGTTTACAAAACAAAGTTACAACTCGGTGTAAACAAACACATACACACACCAAGAGCAGCAGGAAGAGAATGATTGTAACTAATTAGTGAATTATACAGACACTGCATCATGGAGTGTTAATTAAAAAAATAATAAAAAAAAGAAGCTATCAGGATCTTAGTTCTTAATAGCACAAAACAAGAATGTGCTGGGATAACACACAAAAAAAGAGCATTTCTTCCATTTACTGAAAAAAGAAAGCATGGAGGAAAAATAGAGAAAGCTGTTATAAAAAAGGGTTTCATGAGAACACACACGGAGTTGGGCTGAATTCAGACTATATTAGGAAAAAGTAGCATCTGAACATGACTCCACAACCTTGGGAATGTCCTTTCCAGTATAATTTTGGTAGCTGATCATGTGAACAGTATGTCCACATGTTTGTACACAAACACCATGTTAAAAACATTCAAGACATGAGAAATATTTTATCATTGTTTTATTATTTAGAAACTAATTAGGAGATCCTTTCAAGATCTATATTCATATGAAAAGTCAACAAATTATAGACATTCACTCTTGTTTCAATTTAAAATAAAAAGAAACATTAGGAAAATGTGGGGCAAACAATGTGCTTCATAATTTAGAACTCTTGCACTTCTGTAAAAAAAAATTTATTTTTAATTGCACTATATGCATAAAGACAACAGTGGAAGAGGAATTTGCAGCAAATCTGTATTTCATTTAAGAATAGGCAGTTTTTAGCTAATTTAAAAAAACTTCAGCACTCAAATAAATAAATACTTTTTGTTTTTAATCTATTAAACTGAAGATTTCATTTTAACCTCTCCCAAAGCACATATAGACACAAATTCACCCATTCTTCCTTGGGGACAGATTCTGATTCCTTTCTGAATAACACCGAAAGCCGTCTATTGAAATTTCTCATCGAGCAATTTTCTTTCTTGCACGAGGGTACAGGAAGATTATTCCTGTATCTGGCCACATGGCCTTTCAATTTTATTGCCGTAGGGTCAAGCCTTACCATCGATGTTTAGAGAAATCCCATTATTTACAGGTTTGGCTGTTAACAGGGACAGTGTTTTCGGTGGTGCCGGAGCCGTCGGCACAGAGGGCTGGAGGCACTCGCTGTCCCTGCAGAGTCAGTCCTTGCTGAGGTGCAGATCGAGGTGCTGCTGCTGTTGGGAACACACAAAGTCTCAACGGTGATATCACCTCGACAGCACTGGGAAAAGAGAAGTTGGCCCAAATCTGGGATTTTCAGCACACTCCGTGGTATGCGGTGGCCACACATATTCCATATATAGAAGGGAAGTGTGCACGATGCTGTAGGTGTCCTAAAAGTAGATTTATCTTCAGCCTCTACTCTTCATCTGAAAAGCCTTCTGTTTTCCCTGTAAAAGGTAATTTCTCTGTGGAAATCTTCTAACTGAGCAGAGTTTAGAGCAGTTTCGGGATTGTTTCCCGTCTCCGTAAATCTGACCATTCTTGAAAGAAAATTGCTAAGAATTTCCAACTGGATCGTGTAATCACTGCCCCGGTATCAAGAGGAGGGGGAGTGACATGAAATCACTGACTTGTGACATACATTCCTCAGCAACGCGGCTGCTGCCTAATGACAGCTAATAAAGGGAATCTTCCCTTGACAGAGCTGCATGCCTGCAGTGGGACTGGAATGTGCCCAAGATAAACCCCCTGATAACCCAGGAAGCAGAGATCACACCCCAAGAGTATAAAAGAGGAGCTTCGGAAGAGAGAGGACAGGACAAGGAACAGAGAGATCCGAAGGGACATCTCAGAAGAGACAGCTTGAACTTCACTATTCCCAACCAACTCGGCGCCATGGACACTAAAGGCTCATTTTTCTATGGCTTCCTCTTGCTGCTGCTCATCCAGCTCCAGTCCAGCAGAGCCAACCCCATCTACAGCCTCAGCCCTGCCAAAGAACTGGCCAGCATGGAGGTGAGGACTCTCTCTCTTCTCAGGTTTAAACTTTGGGGGTGCTCAGCAGAGTGTGAGGTGGTGCTTTGCCTTCCCTTTGCATGATCAGACAGCAGTGGCCACATTGGCCACCACATGCCAGGGGACAAAGCCTCAGCTCTTCACAGGGGCTCAGAGAAGCTCTGCAGGGCAATATCCTCCTTCGCTGGGTTCACCTGAGCTCCTGGGCAGCACTGGGAATTAAAACTGTGATGTTGTGGGGATGTCTGCTTTGGGGTTTTGGTTCTTTTCTCTTAAAGATCCATCTCCTTGGGGGCAAATATCCAGAGAGGGAAAAAAAATCTTCAGAGTAGCTCTACAAGAACAAACAGAAAACGTTGAGGTGGCTTCTCTCTATCCCACTAAAGGGCAGGAGTAGAGAAGCAGAGCAGCCACAGGGCTCTGGCTTTGTGAATTTGAGAGATTTGTGTATGGATGGGAGATGAGGAGGTAAAGTGGAGCACCCAAAGTCAAATTTTAGAAATGTTTCTAGAGGAATACTATAATCATTTAGTGTGGCTCACCCAGGAAAGCTTCCAGAGCTATGAAATTACCAAGTGCAAACTCTAATGAGTGACAGGGAACATCCATTGTTGCAGCACAACACAAGCTTAAGACTCAGCCTCACAAGATGAAATTTGAAAGCTCAAACCTTTCCTTGGTCTGGTACCAGTGACCAGCTTCTCACAGCTGTTCTCAGGGCCTGAGAACAAACTTCCTGAGATACTGGGACAGTGTCAGCTGTAGCTAAAACCACCCTGTGCCTCTGGGCTGTTTGCAGCAGCCAAGAAGAGCGGCTTCCAAATGCATTGTCAGGCAAGCCATGAGGCTCACTCCTCTTCCAGAGATGGGCAATTAGGATCCCCTAATTGGTTGAGCTGCCCTTGAGAAGGTTATCTGATCCCTGTCACACAAAGCTGTACAAATTACACAGAATGGTACTCAGGAAGAAATCACTCAGCAGGCAATAATTTAGCACAGGGGTATTTTTGGTTGCTTTAAGGAGCAGCAATCCTGTAATCCCCAGGGCAGAGATCAGTGAAAACACCAAGAGCTTCTCCAAGTGGTGTCCATTGAAATAGCCAGGGGTGACAGAGCAGCAGCTTCTGAGAACATGGTTATGGATCCAAAGGTTCTCTGAGGCTGTACCACTGCTGGGCTGAGTGGTAGCTCCCTGTGCAACTCAGACCTTGGGCTTTTGTTCCTCTGTCAAGAGTTGTAACCTTGCCAGTAAGACACACTTGGTGTCAAGCAGCTTCATTCAGCTCACAGCTGTAAATTCCTATAGATGGAATTGCTGTGAACAGGGATTTAGTGCAGAGGACAGAGCTCAAGGACCTGGGATCCAACCTGACAGTCTCCCATGGGACTACTGATGAATGCAGAACGGGATGACTGGAAGACTTAGCAAATGAGCACAAAACTAGGAGTTTCATGAAGTTAATCCTTCTCTTACAGGCTCTGTTGGAGAGGCTGGAGGATAAGTTTGCAATGATTGAAGCCCTGGAGTCCAACCCTGACCTGCCAGAACCCAAACCCCAGGAGGAGATCCGCCCAGAACTCGACGATGACAGCGAGGACCAGAAGGCTGAGCCCAGGCTGGCACCCAACCCGCCCCTGTCCTTCAGGGACCCCCTCCTCAAGAGGCTGAGGGGGCTGCAGATGCCCAGGATGATGAGAGACTCCGGGTGCTTCGGGAGGAGGATCGATCGGATCGGCTCCCTCAGCGGGATGGGCTGCAACGGTGAGTCACTGTCTGGGCCACCCCGGGGGAGGAGCAGCCCTTTAAATCTTTAAGAAGACACAGTCTGAGAAAGGAGTTGATTTTAGCCGAGTATTTAAGCCAGTACTGTTTTTTCAAAAGCACTGTTGACGACGGTGCCACAGACTGAAACAGAAACAGATTTTAGTAACATTTATTTCATGTTTGCTTTGCAGGTTCCCGGAGGAATTAGGATCAACCTCCCTATTCCCTGCTCTGAAGAATGCTTTACAGTACCTGTTCCTCCCAAGATGAAAGCCAGATGCTTTCCAAGCTCCTCAACAGAAAGTTATTCCTATTTTTATTTATTTATTTATTTATTTATTTGATGTTTTTTTAAAGAACATTTCTTGCTCTAGCACCAAGAGACCATCTTTAAATAAAACTAACACATTAGACATCTATGCTGGACCTCTCTCCTGTCTGTTGCATTAAATTTTCTTGTATATTCCTAAAGTCAAAATCCTAAGTTTTATTGGTATTCTGGTACCCACAAGGCTGGATCTTACTTACATGAGATAGAGAAAGTATGAACTTGGTAGAAACTGAGTTTTTCACTAGAGCTTTTCCATCTGCACTAAAAAATTCTAACAGATTAGCAGGGAAAAAAAGCTTTTTCAACATTGAAAGACCAACATACATAGACAGGGTTTCAGTAACAAGAGAGTCCTTTTGCTGGTTTAGATTATTCAGTCACAGGAACTGCCACAAATCCCCCACCTAAGCAAAATTTACATGGAAAAAAATAAGAAAAATTATAACACTCCACGAGTTCCAAAATAACCAGAGGGAGGAAAGGGAATTCATTGTATTTGCTTTCTAGCACTGGCCAAATAAAGGTTACGAGCATCAACAGAAAGATACATCAGTAACTGTGTCTTGTCTCACTCTGCACGTGGCTGAGATGCTGATTCCCAGCATTTCTTGAAGGATTCTTTGAATAATCCTTGAATATTCCTCATGAGAGGGCAGGTGGGATCACTCCAATTACAAAGCAGCTCGTACAGAACTTTATTTATCACTTTCTGGGAACGGGCCCTCACAAAGCTGTTCTGACAGGGCTGATGGGAACACTGCAAGGCTGATCAAGGTTTTGTTTAACCTCTGTTGAGATTTTACACTTAGGAGCTGAATTTGACCCAAAATATATTCTCCCCTCCAACAAAGAAGGTGATATTGCCAAGTGCACGTTCAGTCACCATCCCAAGGACCAAACAGCTCAGAATCCCATCAGCCCCAACAATGGCATCGAGCCCAGCCCAACACAACTGTCCTGTGACTGCACACACGGCTGGGAACTGGGCTATTTTGAGCACCTCATGAGCCTCATTCCCAGAATCTCAGTCCATTCCCAGGTACTGGTGTACCCTGGGAAGCTTGTTCAGGGCCCTGAGAAAGGAGCACCAGGACAGACTCAGCTGGAACAGTCCCATTCTGACTTTGCTCCTGCAAATGCACAGGGAGAGAGGAACAACACCTGGCCAGGACAGGCTGTGGGAGGAAGGTGTTCCAGGGCTGGGACAGCTGCTCACAAAGGCTCTCAGGGACCACAGCTCCAGGGAAAGGGTAAATCTGAGTGCACACCACCCCTGTCACAGCTAAGGCTGCTGCACCCCTTGAACAGGGCTCGTGCCACACACGTTTCTGACAAGCCACCCTGCCAGTCCCTCCCTGCCCTGCTGGCACTGCCTCTGGGAGGGACCTGGGTGCTCCCTGCCACGTTAGGCCTTGTGATTCTTCCCTAGGGAAGAAGAATAGAAGTCTAATCTGAGGGGGATCATTTTGCTCCACTCCAGCAGGAAACCACACCTAGTGTGATAGAAATCACACATCAGAGCCCCTCCTTCCAGCAATGGCAGCTAAAGGCAAAACATCTGTGCAACAGTGTCCACACAGGTTTCACTGTCAGGAGAATGAATTCCCAGCAGCTTCCATGAGACATCTCTGCAGTGAAAGCTACAGTGACTTAGCATTTACTCAGAGGCAGTTTCACAGATCAAGGGGGTGTGAAGTCACCCTTTGGGGAGCCTTTGTGGGGACAATGGGGCTTTGTCCTCTCAAACAGGCTTTCCAAACACACCTGTTTCCCACTGCAGCAAGATGGGAACACACAGGTGGATCCCTCCACACCAGCAGTGGGCAACAGCCCGGACTTCCCATGTGCTGCTATAAGGGGAAGTAAAAACAATCCACTTATTCTAACAATAACAACTCTTGCTGGAACTGAATTTTACCCAGTCAAGCAAAACTTGCACAGACACTGTAAATTGTCCCTCCCTGTCAGCCCCTCAGGGCACAAAACTCTAATTAGTTCAGTGGAATGTGCTAAAAATGGCAAGAAGAGTCGATGCTGCCTGACCCAAAGGCAGGTGGGTCCAGTATTAACAGCAAGCCAGTTCCTGGTGGAACAAGTCTGTATTGGCTGGCAGACAGTAAGTTAATGGACCCTGGGGTCTGGGAGAACCTCATTGAGGGTAAGCAATCGAGGAAAAAAGCACCTCTGACTGGATTTTTACTGCTGCTCTCATAAACACACTGAGCTGTAAAGCTCCCTCAGGGAAATCCCACAGCCAGGTCAGAACAGGGCTGCACACTGGAACAGGCACAGGGAAAAGCTGAATGAGGGGAACCTGGCACTGATGGGCTCTGCAGGCAAAGAGCATCACCCCAAGGACGGGCAAAGCCACCACTGCTGATGTGAGGGCTGGATCAGAGAGAGCAGGGAACAGTCTTGGGAACAGCCACCTGCAAACAAAGAAATATCCCAGTGGGATCAGAGAAGGACCAGGCTCACACCCTCCACCCAGCTCTGATGACATTTGCCACCTCCTGCCATGCCAGAACTTCATTCTCACTTCTCAACAGCTCCTGGTAGAATCCCTGATGAGCAGTGCATAATTCAGCAGCTTTCTGTCCTTTGAGCTCTGAAACCCAGCAATTCCACCAGCATGCTCCATGAACTCTGTAAGACACGAGCTTTGGCTGGAAAAGTGGTTTGCTTGGCGTGGGCTTTATTTGCAAACTGGCTATGATGGTTTCTTTGCCCCTCAGACACTGCACTATCCCTTTCCAGCTCCCCACTAGATGAAATGCTTCACTGGAATCCAAGTCTGCAGAAAAGAATGCCAAGAGGAGCTGTCAGCACTGCTTTGTTTCTCTAAGAAATCATGTGTGGAGCACAGGGCACACACTCTCCACTGCTGCAGGGAGACGTGGAGCTGTGCCAGCTCACATCCCAGGCTGGCCACAGCCAGCTTGCTTGATTTACTTTCCCTGAATCTTGGGCCCCAAAGGCATTTGCTGATTGACATCTGCTTGATAAGTGTGTCCCACACTTTTATGTGGGAAGGAAGGATGATTTGTAAGACCTTCCCCCTCCCTTACCATCTCCTGCCTGCTCTCTGGGAAAACCAGCACAATGCTGAACAGAGACAGAAGCAGACTTGGGAGTAGGGGAAGTTTTAAGAAAACAGAGGGTGGTGGGAAGGCAGCTACAGTCAGGCCTGCTGTGCTGGCAACTGGGAGGAAGCAAAGGAAAGACAAAACCAGTGTGTAAGTTCAGCCATCCCAAGAGATATTCTCTAGTGCAGGCATCAAGGAGCTGCTGGGGGAGTCAGCAAGGGGCTCAGGGTTGTCCTGTGTTACCTGTTACAGTTGTGAGCTGTCAACACAGTATTGTTTCCCAAGTTTGTCTACTGAAACTGGCACATGTGGGGTCCAGTGTCTGCTCCAAAATGCTTAAGGAATCCTTAAAATGTGTGTCAAACCATACCCAGCCCACACAGGGATTTGTGCCTTCATTCCTGCACGTGTCCCCAGAGAAGGGACACCCTGCTCACTTTTTAACAGTGATCTCAACATCCAAACCTCACAGACTGATACCCCTCCCTTCCCAGATGGTGGAACTCACTGTTGTCTTATTCCAGCTCCCAACAAGCCCTTTCCACACACTGCATGTGAACAAACAGTGGGTGCAGAAGAGGCCGAGTGTATCCCACCACTGCTGGAAAGCACTTCAGCACCCTGGACAAGAAGAGGAGCTTCACTCTCTCCTCACACACATACACAGAGCCAAAGCTCAGGGCAGCCATCCCTGTTCCTTCCTGTGTGTGCTGCATGATCCACACCCCTATGGGAATGCACACACCACACACCTGTATGGGTATGTACACAAGTGGAAGTAAAGCAAAAATTGAAAAAATAATAATCTCACTGAATGGGCCATTCATTTAAGAGCTGGACTCAATGATCTTTGTGGGTCCCTTCCAACTCAGAATATTCTGTGATTCTGGAAATTTTTCTGTTAGAGCTCTGGTGTGCAGGTACAGGAACACACATGGATTTAATGAGTCTATAAACCTCTCTCATTCCCTCCTACATCCCTGCATTTATGACCAAAGGCAGCGTAGAGCTGAAGCAGAGTTCCCCCACTCCTTTCTCCTGATGATCCCCCCCTCCTACCCTCACCAGGCTATCCCTCCTACCCCTTGCCAGAAGCACAGCTCAGTTAAAACCACTGTGGCACTTGTTCAGCTCCCAAGCACAGCCTTTCTGCCATCCCCTCCCAAGAGAAGGTTTTACCCATTTCAGGCTTTCCCTGGCACTACACAGATACAGGGGAGAGCCAGAGGGCAGGAGCCACACAAGCTGTGGGGTGTTAGACTGCATCAGTTATGTGCATCCTGTGCAACATGGCCCTTGATCCAGAAAAACATGGAAAGGCTGTGAGATTTTGGGGTCAGGTATTTCTGCAGTGCTCAAAGACTGCATTTACTTACATTTTTGGCCTGCAAGCGCGTGATGAGAGCTCAAAAAGTGTCACAAAATACTTTTCTGTAAGGCAGACAGCAGGACAAAAGCAGGAAAGATAGCCATAAACTAAACAAAAGTTTAAATTAAGATTTTTCACATCCTGGAGAAGCCACCTGAAAAACCAAGAGGTGCCACACTGCACTCTGAGCCTCTTTCATTAACTTACTGGGAGGAAGGTGAGTTCTCAGGTAAGGAAAGCAGCACCACGTGCACAATTCGGCTCCTTATCAAACACTGGGAATTCCCTCCTTTGATACAGCTGTTGTGGGAGAACGTGGAATTACAGTGGTCACAACCTAAAGGATCACACATCCCTCTCTGCCCACTCCCAGAGCACCCTCTGCACAAACTGTAGATCCAGACAGCTCATAAATAGCAACTACTCAACTCCCTCAAATCAAGCTCTTGGATGTTGCCATGTTCTACTAGTTTTATTATCATAAAGGGCAAAAATAAAACAGTGCTAGAAACATCAAAAGGGCAAAAATAAAACAATACTAGAAACATCAAAAGGCCTTGAAAGTGCTGAAGGAGACACACAAACATTTTACTCTCAGACATGTTATGGTTCACATGAATACTTCCCAAGTGCCATAGTTCAAATAAAAATATATTCATACAAATTTAAAAAAAATACAATT